AAATATTTCCACTGTTCTACAAATTAATGATACAATGAAATATCAAACTATTATCGGTTTTGGTGGAGCGTTTACGGATGCATCTAGCATTGTAGCCCGTCGTCTATCTTCTAATCTACAAAAGATATTATTAGCTCAATATTTTGGTGAGCAAGGTATCAATTATAATATCGGACGTATTCCTATGGCTGGTTGTGATTTTAGTACGTATTCGTACACGTACGATTCCGTTCCGAATGATTTTGAATTGAAATATTTTTCTATTGGAATGGATTTATCAATCAAAATTCCATTTATACAATCGGCTATTGCAATGAGTAATACGACGATTTATTTTTTTGGTTCACCTTGGAATGGACCAGACTGGTTAAAAAATAAAAGTAGTCCTGTGGGTACTCTAAACGGTGTTCCTGGTGATAAATATCATAAAACTTGGGCAAACTATTTTAGTAAATTTATTGAAGCCTATGAGTCTGAAGGAATTCCTATTTGGGGCATTACTACACAGAATGAGTACAGTCAAGTGAAAGATTTTGAAGGATTATTTTATACAACGGAGCAATTGGCAGATTTTATTCGTATTGATTTAGGACCAGAATTACGGACTAAACATCCATCGGTAAAAATCATGACATATGATGATGATATGGTATTACTTTTCTTAAAAATTGATCGAATGATAAAACGTAATCGAACAATTGATCAATATATTGATGGTATCGCTGTTCATTGGTATGCTACAGAAGACATGACTTTTCCTGATTTTTATGAATTATTTCTTGCTAAATTAGAATATCCACAATTTTTCTATCTTCCTACAGAAGCTTGTGAAGGATATATGAGAATCAATAAAGGACCGAGATTAGGCATGTGGAAACGTGGAATACATTATGCTCTATCGATTATTGGCGATCTACTTGTCGGAGCTTCCGGTTGGACAGATTGGAATATTGTACTGGATTTAGAAGGTGGTCCCAATCATATTCGAAATTTTGTAGATTCACCCATCATTGCCAATACAAGTAGTGGAACAGTTTTTTATAAAAATCCGATGTATTATGCAATGGGACATTTTTCTAAATTTATTCCTCGTAATTCTATACGTTTAGGTATGAATGTATTGAAAGAAGAAAAACGACACACTCTAACTGAACCATTAAAAATTGTTAGCTTCTTAACTCCAATGAATCAAATGGTGATCGTAGCTTTGAATCATGATCGAGCAAAGACACAAAGTGTGGAAATTCTTGATTCTAAATTAGGTTACCTAACTTTAACTCTAATACCAGAATCAATACAGACGATTGTTTATGATGCCGTTTTGGAGTCGACTCACTTTTTTTAAAACATCCATTTTTAAATTCATGTTGCTGTTTTTGTACATGAGTTTTCTTCAAATTTTTTGTTAATGACTTTTCTACTGTTCGCTTTTGATATTATCGAAAATGAAGAAAGTCGCTTGGATTCTAATTGACTGGAAGAAATCAACTCATTTTTGGTTCTATTATAGTTAGTATCTTGTTTTTCTAAATAAATTAGAAATTTTGTGAGTCAATGGAAGATTAGAAATGGATATTTGATCGAATAAAGTCACGGAGTAGATGTGGATGAAGAAAAGACACTGTCATCGACACTCACATCCTCAAAGTTATGTAGAAAATTCAGTAAAGTTGACGAACTTCGATATTTTTCATTTTATTTCAATCAGAAGAAAATAGTAACGCAGATCGACGAATGATACATCTAGATAAAGTAATAACGATATTATCAAAAATGTTTTCTATGCATATATTCATTGAGAGTTTACTTTATCTCGTATTATAAATGCTTATATGACTACGTAAGAAAAAGTTGCCTTAAGAAAGATAACTTACACAGTATATTAAAAGTAATTTAAAAAAATTTGATTATCTCACTTTTTACTGGTTGTTATGTCTTTCTAGATGCAAACATCAACAAGAATCCATGGAATAAGTAGAAATGACAATAATTTCTATGTTGGTCTATCGAAACCTTCAAACAAATCACTATATTCTAATACATAACATCTTTTATAGTAGAGCCAACAGTGAAAAATGCAGAGAAACTGATTATTTTATTGTTTGAACGCATATTCAACATATTCGATGGCTATCACTCTTCCCACTGTGCAATTGTCTATATTGTTTGAATATCCTGAAATCATCTGACAGAATTTTGTGATTGAAAGAAATACAACGAAAGAATCATGTTGACACCACTATTCATTTGATATAAGTGACAGAGAATATTGCACATCATTCAAGAAATAATTATCAATAAAATGAAAACTACTCTTTCATTATCATTTGTTTTAGTTTCAAGAGTGGATATTGAAACTCATAAACCGCAGTAAATGGATAAAAAGNGTGGATGAAGAAAAGACACTGTCATCGACACTCACATCCGCAAGGTTATGTAGAAAATTCAGTAAAGTTGACGAACTTCGATATTTTTCATTTTATTTCAATCAGAAGAAAATAGTAACGCAGATCGACGAATGATACATCTAGATAAAGTAATAACTATATTATCAAAAATGTTTTCTATGCATATATTCATTGAGAGTTTACTTTATCTCGTATTATAAACGCTTATATGACTACGTAAGGAAAAGTTGCCTTAAGAAAGATAACCTACACAGTATATTAAAAGTAATTTAAAAACATTTGATTATCTCGCTTTTTACTGGTTGTTATGTCTTTCTAGATGCAAACATCAACAAGAATCCATAGAATAAGTAGAAATGACAATAATTTCTATGTTGGTCTATCGAAACCTTCAAACAAATCACTATATTCTAATACATAACATCTTTTATAGTAGAGCCAACACTGAACAATGCAGAAAAACTGATTATTTTATTGTTTGAACGTATATTCAACATATTCGATGGCTATCACTCTTCCCACTGTGCAATTGTCTATACTGTTTGAATATCCTGAAATCATCTGACAGAATTTTGTGATTGAAAGAAATACAACGCAAGAATCATGTTGACACCACTATTCATTTGATATAAGTGACAGAGAATATCGCAAATCATTCAAGAAATAATTATCAATAAAATGAAAATTACTCTTTCATTATCATTTGTTTTAGTTTCAAGAGTGGATATTGAAACTCATAAACCACAGTAAATGAATAAAAAGAATCCACATATCAATTCTTAAACATGATTTCGATATATGGAGAACAGAAGGATTCGTGTGAAAGACAAACATTCTGTTAAAGAGATCTGCATGGGCACGGGGATATGTATCTACACTGCTCTTCAACATGAGAAAAGATGATTGAAGTGGGTATTGACCCATACTGTATTGATCGAATTTATGAGCAGTGAAAATTGCTCCAAAGCTCTGCTCTGAAGACGGTAGGTAGAGTAGTGATCTAGGATAGGTTTAAGATAACTAGAAAAATGCTTAAGAATAATTTTGCTGATGATGTTCATGAGAAGTAGCTAGGTGTGTTGGTATGTAGCAATATCGAAAACAGTAGGTCAGGTCTTGATTAGACAAATAAAAAAAAAAGTATAATTGTACGTAAAAACCATTACAAAAGCACTTTTTCTTTTCTTTTTCAAACATCAGATAATAATAATGGACTTCATATTGTGCTATACGAAAAGAGACACCTGCCATCATAGTTGGTTTGAATAATAGACAACAGTATATTTGAGTGCATATATAAATTTATAGGACACTTTTCTTGCTGAAACTGCATCCAGTGACAAGCTCGATTGATATCCTGTTGTAGAATCAAGATAAAGGTAACACAAAAACACTTATCAAGATTGAAATTTAGAATATGAAATTTTATTCATAAGCACTAAATAAGTAATAGAATTCAATGAAAATTTTTAATTCGATATTCATTCAAATCATGTCGACAATATTGTTTTCTATATTCTTAAGTGATATCACTGAAATTTTACTGTATGAATTTTTCTTTTTGTCTCTGCGTCTTACTCAATGAAATCCCATCCTAAATGTTTCGAATGTAATTTGAGATCCAGATCTCTGAATTTTTATTGTTTACAATTACAAAAAAATTATCGATTGGCATAGTTCATTCAAAACTTTGATCTATACATCATGTGATGAAACAAATTTCTACTTATTGAATGCTACGTAACTCATCATTGGGAGATATTTAGAATGTTTTTATGAAAATAGATTTCTTTCCATTTCTCTTCTTTTGGTATACAGATTATTATATCATACTTGGTGATGCTAAAAAGCATGAAATTTCATGATTGTACATCAATTAAATAAATTTGAACTAATATTCAAAAGTAACATTGATGCAATCCTTAAAAATATTTATTGCATTTGATTTTCATATATGTTAGCATCCTATCTGAGACCCGACATTGCATGAACATTAATTCAGACCATTCTCGGATTAATCGGTTACGACACGTTCAATTTAAGATTTGTCAAGGCCAACCGCGAATTAGAGACTAAGTATATTGCCTTCTATGTGGAGGTGTTAATTCAGTCGAAAGAATACGTTGAAATAAGCTGAACTGAACGATATGAATATAGGTGTGGGGGAGAAGCGAAACGAACAAGTGCATCTACACACACCTTTTGTTGATTCTTTTTGTTACTTATGATTAGATAATGTATTTTGTTGAAAATAAAATTTCATATGCCACGGTTAACTTTTTCTTTAATGTCATATATTAATCGATTCGAGATTGACCTAGACCAATCTGAAACTCACCTAAAATTTTAGATAACCTTAGATTAGACGTATTGTAACTAGTCGATCCGAGAGTGGCCTAAATTAATATCCACCCAATATCGAATCTCACATTGGACGCTAAAATATATATGAAGAGTATCTAATAACAAATCTCGAGAAATATATATTACGACTAGATTGTTCAGTTCTAATCATCATTCAAAATATTGATGATAGGCTCTCACGATGAATCGCACGTTTTTTTTCTTTTAGAAACATAGCTAATTATTAGCATGATGATGAAACAACTGTTTTGGTGTCTTCTGTTTTTCTTATGCAGTCAAGTAACATATTGTACTCAACCTTATCTTCCTTCGCAAATAACATTTTATACTGATGACGATAAAACACTCGTGGCAGTCAATGAAATTAATCAGCAGGCTTATCAAATGTATACAATCAACTCATTACAAGCACAGTATGCATTTGCAATAAAACAGTTTCCTTATACAATACCTGATTCACCAGAATCTAAATATTATGTTCAATTAATTAGCTATTTTCCATCCAATAGTTGTATGTATGGAGCATATTTGAAACACGGTGGATTTTCGTTTAACTCATTTCCTTTACATTGGAACTCTAACAGTACAACGTTTAAAATTGAAAATTATATTAAATTTAATTATAAAATGATACATTCGGAAAATAATTCGACAACGGAAGATTATTGGTATGCAGATCAATTATGTGAAGTCTATAGTGGTGAAAACTTTCCTTGTGAAGAAATATATTTTATTAAAGATACGAATATATCTCTTCGAACAACAAAAGTTATTCGTCAAGGATGGGACTTAATACAAAGAACAACAAAATATAGAGTTATATCGATTGGCAAACCTGATGTTCATCTATTTAATATGATTCCAATAAAATGAGCATACAATTGTACGGATACAAACTTAGGTGTTCAATATGATCCACAGATGTCAACGTTAAGATTATATCAAAATTTGACGATTCAAGTTTCATTAAAAAGTCCGCCACATAGCATCAATGGTAATGATACAGTCATTATCGCATGGAAACCAGCTGATTATTCGAAATGTATGGATTTTGTAATATATACACCGGAACAACTTAGTTTCAATGATGAAAATTTTCAGCAAAAACAAACATTTACTTTTACTCGAGTTAAAAATGGAAGTGTAACTGTAATTCCAAATTCTTCCGGTGGTGGATTTGATACAGTTACACCAGGATACAATGCTATTTATATTGATTAAAATTATTTTGTTGTTTTGCTTGTTTATTTTTAATATAAACAATATTGTTGGACGAATTCGTGTCAAAATACTGAAAAAAAAATCATTTACAATAATATTTTCAGAATGTTTCTAACATGTTTAGGTTAAGAAAGATAGCAATTGATAAAAATAAAAGTCATCAATCTATAATAAATTATTATCGATAAAACGAAAACGCTAGTTTGTTTTTTGACCAAGCCGAAGCACTTGATAAAATATTCGAACAGCAATTAAATAATAGATCTACTTTTTCTGGTATATACATATAGATTTTAATTTTTCTCTGAAAAGATTATCGTATAATATGATGTTTAGTAACCTCGTTCGGAATTATGTTTATAATAATCAAGAACAATGGACGTTCTCTTTTGTAATACATTTGACATGTCATCTAGATGAATATCAATATGCAAATGAAGCGAATCATTCACAAGAATGTTGGCTTGGCAGTAAGCAGATATAGCTACAAACTGAATTATCGTTTAGAAAGAGACAGAGAGAGAGAGAGAACATTATATATCTATCTACATATGTAAGCGTGCATTCAATGAATCTTGCAAATGAATTATAAAGTATTCCAATCTTTAGACTTCGTGGATAAGGATGAAGAGTGGATCCCCACACATTTACTCTTACCCTCTCTTAACCATACCAATTTTGAATAAGATCTACAAAATTAATCAATCAAAACTTACTCTCGAATTAACACTAGTATTGATCTATATATATCGAACAGAAGCTTTGTTTAATTTGGTCAGTGTTAGAAAGAAAGAAAATAATCAACTCAGCAATATAGTATTATGGAGCATTTTTCAGAAAGATTTCCAAAAATGATTGGTTTAGTAATGATTTCACTTTGTATAATATACTATCATCAGCACGTTCCAAATCTGTCTTGTTGGATTAATAAAAAATCGTAGATTGTTAATTATTGACATTCTGAAGATATTCGTCTTTACGCCAACCCAAGCAAGCCTGTCGCCACCAAACAGAAGAGAAGAGTGACATCTGAATCGTGTGATCATCTTCTTATTTGCCATTACTCAGTATTTTATTTTGAGACTTTAACTACATAGCTACATGTGTATCAAGATGTCATGTTACAACTGAATATATATTTTAAAGTGCCAAGCATGTAACATATTTTATTTTGTATCAAGGTAAAATTATATTTTTATTTATTAATAGCGATTATTAAGTTCTTTTATGAAATCAAATCGTTGAAATACCTGTATCATAGTTGAGTTTGAATGTGATGTGAAGAAACCAAGTTCAATTTTTCAATGATGACCTTCAAAGTACACAACTGTCTGTAAAAAACAACGATTTTAACAGATATGTTAAAAGCTTTTAATAGAAAATTTAGAAAGTCTACGTAGTCTGACACAAATTCTATTTATCATTAGACACATCCAGTTGTTGATCTCAAAATTAGACTAGATGACTGAGTTCAGTAATAGGCTCAGAGTCCTAAAACAAAAACACTGATATCCATTGATTGAAATACTCATTTTCTTGGATCCTCATCTGATCTTGTTGCAGTTATTATACGAGGTAAATTTCCAATGTAAAATCTTCGTTTATCAACTATAATTGATTTCTAATAAGTTAAATTTTCTGTTGATGTAAAAGTGAATATGCAAGAAACGACATAATTCGAGACTTCAAATAGTAAGAAAAAGAGCAGGAACCATGCTAATATAATTGTCTTTTATTTTCAAAAAATATTTCAAGAAAACAAATCTACGTGATTTGAAGAATATTCGTCAGGAAAAAAAAAGATTTCAGATCCTATTGATAGCGAGAGCAGCGCCATCAGAAAAGAACATCAATAGGATTGGCTAGAAAATGACTATTATTTTTAGCAAATGGCAAAATACGCACGTTTCCAACTTAACTTATTGTTGTGACAAGAAAATGATTGAATTCAATTTTTAGATCGACAGGTATTTTAGTTTAGAAATTCATACCTCAACAAACGTCATCGGACTTTACCAGTAATTCATTCTCTCTTCCAACTACTCGATCAGTCAAAGCTTTACCTCTATCAAAGCTCGATGACATTCGATTTCAATTAGATTTTAATACGTCTTATATTATCGGCTTACATTCAGTTCTTCGTATAATATCAATTTGTCAAACACAACATCATCTTTTTCATGATAACTAACAACAATATTGGTAAATCACTTTTGAATTTTTCATGTTTTATTCATAACAAAATTTACATTTTAAGGCCAATTCTACTCTGCTGGTCTTCGCAAAGCACTCGGATTAACTTGTAGCAATTAAAAAACAAATAATTTTAAAAACTGATTATTGCCGATAAAATCGTGGCAAAAGATTCATGTTGAATATCTCTACTCTTTTTTTTCTTACAACATCGTTGTGGGTCTTTAGTTTGCTACAAATCTTCTCGTGCCACTTATTGACAGTGAATGTGCTTGAACTTATACTATGCAACTGAAAAGTACATATATATTAATAAGTTGTAAATAAGAAACTTTACATATATTTAATTATAGAAAAAGCAAAACCAGAATCTCGAAAAAAAAACTTCGTCGTTTAAAATCGTCTTCGTAAAGTAGTTAAACATTTTGAACAACTGGAATAATTATGTAATCAATGACAGACATGCAATGCCCGTATGAAAGTTCAAGTTCAAGTTAAACTGCAATACATCAAACGTTTACTTATCGAATTCTCATTTCTGCAGATATATATATATATATAGCAGTTATCAATGGTGATTTAGCATTTGACATACAACTATCAAGTCAAGCAATAAAATTTTATATAAGTGTGCAGTAAATTCATTGATGAATATTATGCGCTATAGAAATATAGTTGTTGGAATGAAGATTAGAGTCATTAGTGATAATCTAAAAACAGGTAGATCAACAAATCAATGATTCAATAATGAAGATTAGATTTTGTTAATATACGAGTCATAATAAAATTCTGAAAGAGAATTTGAAAATTTTAAGAACAGAAAAAGTTAATGATGACTCAGAAATGACACGTAGTCTTAATGTTAGTTTAACAATTTTTGACTTTGTTGAAAATACATATTATCCATCGTGATATTTTAGACATTTTATCAGTGAAACATATCTACAGCAAATATTATCAGTGTCACAAATCATCAAGCGATAATATCAAATGCAAATAACTAATGGAAATAGTCGTTTATTGTTACTGAAATTATACGAATTCAAAGATAAAATCAGACGTTCCATTCGATAACAAATGAATTTTTACAAAAGTCTTCTAAAAGAACCAGTTAAAACATTATAAATTACCAAAAATTAATTTGAAAATAATTCTGTAAGTAAAATTAAAACTATTTCTCTCAATATTGTTTTCTAACAAAAACATTCAAACCTGTATAATTACCAATTGCTAACCATGCAATATGTGCAAGTAACGGTAAATGATTGAATGTAATTTAGCAACGGATACTAATAGGGATTTCAAAACAGAAATCTCAGATATTGAAAAAAAAATGAAATATAAAAATATTTTAATCAATTTTAAATGAATTTTATTTTATTCAATAAAAAAATTCATGAAGTTAAATATCAAAAATTCAAACATTGACTACATCAACATCTGTTGACGATATGTCACCAAAAGAATTATTCGTTAATGTTTTTTCACTCGATGAACAAATAGAATTCGAAAGAGTACAGGTGATTTCATCATAATACGTAATACAAATTTCTTTGATACTTGCTTTTTTTTCAACAATTCATCGATAGTCGCGATATTTATTTTGAAGATTCATTATTAAGAAATAAAAACCATCTTAACATTGTTCTATTGTCAACACTATGCATTTCAATTTTCTTTGATCTACTTCTAAATCATCTAATATTTCTATTCTTAGATGATAAAGTATACAGTAAGAATACTATGTCAACGTCAAAAAACTGATCTGACCAATTTTGTTAAAATTTTATTTTCCTCGAATGGAAAAAAAGTAATAGACCTGTGTTGATTTGAAAATAAATTAATCATTTTATAGTTACACTCTGTTATTTAGTTAGTCATTCTTTATTTTAGATGAATAATTTCTCTAATATGTGTAGAAAAAAAGTCTTTGCACATCATATAGGGTCAATTTTCGTTCATTTATAAGTTACCGAAATGAATCAACACTGTGTCAGGTAGAATCAGAATTTCATGCTCGTACTAATGATGTAGCCAGAAAAAAAGTTGTGGTCATGCGCTCAACCCTCTGACCATAAATCTTTGAAGGAGCTTGAACTCATATTTAAGTGAATCTCAACTATTAATAGAAGGGCTATACCCTCTTTAGGCTACGCAACTACTCTTTCAAAGTATAAATTTAGAAGTTTTTTTCACTGTTCACAGATAGTTCATCGACAGCCAACATTTGACGGAAGGCAGAAAATGACATCTGTACAGAATTTTTCATGTAGCTTAGCTTTGTATTTTCATTAGACTTCCTCAATCCAAACTATAAGAAATTCTTTTTTATACACTAGTTTGTAGAGCAAGACATCCTCTAAAAAATACTCGACTTGCTTATCTCCTTTACTTATTACTAGAAACGATCGAAATCTTTTACAATGCTAAGTACCGAAATTCTGAAAAAAAGATTTTTTTCGTAAATATACCGTCTCATGTTACACGTAACTGGTTGAAAAATGTTTATAGTTTTCGATGTTTTTGAGCTCTAACTTACTGTAATCCATGCTTTGGTAGAGAATTAAATTCTCGACGATACTATAAAAATGGAAAACTAGCCCAGTTTTATCTCGCAAAACTATGACTAACAGGAAAAAACCTATTTGATTTCATGGGAACAACATTTTTTATTTTTTTTCTACATATTTACTGACAGCTAACTAACTGTAGCTCAGAAAAAATTTTGGTCATATATTTAGAAAGATCATCAAATTCTGGTTGTACCGCAATGATTTTGATTCTATTCAATACCATTTAGGTGCCCG